GATAATTTGGCTTGCTTTTTCTAAAAGAGCGCCCATAAATTAAGATATTGATGTTAAGGTCAAGGCAGGAAGTCTTAAACTTACACAGAAGAGTAATTCCTTAATACCGTAGTTTATCATAGTATACTTGTCTTCCATGAAATGTCAAGGCAAATTTTAGCTTTCTTCCCCAGTCTTTGTGGTAATGAGTGGTTAGGGCTCACTTTTAGGCCAAAAGATCTTTTGAAGGTCAGGGTTGATGACTGCCATTGATGACTGGGTATTGATGGCTCTGTTCCTCCCACACTGTGACTTGGACAGTGTGGATCTTGCTGGTCTGTGGAGGAGATGGACTTTTGGTGGGCTTTTCAGGGCCTTCTCAAAGCTGTGCAATGAACTCCCACGGGGTGGGGAGATGAGGAGGCAGGTTTGGGTTTTGGTTTTGTTTTTGTCAAGTTTGGATTCAGTCAGGTTACTCTGAAAAGATGAATCAACCAGTGGCAAAGCAAAACTTGTCTTCTCCCCAGCCCCCCTCAACTCCCTACAAAAAAATGAGGATATCGACTGAGAAACGGGCATGCGACTGGGAGCGTGATAGAATGGCTTGAGACCAGAGCTAAAAATGATTGCACTACAAGTCATCAAGGACACGGTCAATACTGCCAGGGCTGCAAGTTTCCCTTGCTCTATTTCTTCATCTAATTGTTGATGTCAGCTGTTCTCTATTGAATTGCAAGTCACTGCCTCCCATGCCAGTTTAATAGAGCCTAACGATGGCATAACATCATAGTAGCAAAAAAGAGAAAATGCTAATGGCTGAGTACTTTGTGGAGAAAAAATTAGTTCAAGTGATGGAGAACTTAGCTACTTTAGGAGCATTAAAATTAAGAGCAGTAATGTTCATGCAAAGGAAACTTGATGTGGAGATGTCATAGGCTGCTGACATACATACAAGAACTTAATGCTCACCTACTCTCAGCAGTTTGGACTCTTACGTTGCTTCAGTTTTACCATCCTGCTTTACTTCCGTTACCTTGCGCAAGGATGCAAATACAGTTCTCTGAAGCACCTTCCAGTGTAGCATCCTTAAGTAAAAAACCAAAGGAAATTATCTGCAGCATCAGCAGGGAAATGAAAGAGAAAGCAGGAGAGAGGGAAATGGCTAACAGCCAGCAAGAGCTAGCTTAGACCACTGAAACCTTATCTTCAGCAAAACAGGAATCCTTTCCATCTGTCCAACCACACATAGAAATGACAGTAAAGAAGTTTTACAAGATGCTGTTTGTTATATTCAATACACACAGGCACACATACATGTATATGTGCTCGCGCACACACACTTTTTTAGTATTTTATTGGTTTGAAATCTCTTCCACAAAGAACTCAGGAAATGGAGCATCTCCTTTTGACTGTATCTTTAACATATTTGTGAGCATGGGCATTAATTATCATAAAAAGGATAAATGCATATTTTCTTCGTTCCATTAACCTCTTAATCTCAAATTCAGTAAAAAATGAGATTCTCATAACCAGTACAAATATTCAAATTTGGATCAGCTGCATTGATTTCATTTGGGAGGGGTGGTGTTAATCCAGAAGTAGGGACGCACAGTCAAAATCAGAATGCATCCCAGTGTTTTGAGAAGAATGGTTGTGCTTAGCTTTTCTGTGCTAGGTATTTGTAATAGAGATTGCTTTCTGCATCTATCACATCCATATTAGTTCTTTGTCTTGCTTGACAAGACAGATGGGAGAGACTTCATCATGGCATGATAGCTGTCTCTTTGAATCACTTATAGGTGTTAACAGTGACCTTTCCTGCAAGGGCAAGATAAATTAGACAGCCAAGAGATCTTTATAGCTATCTGAAATGTCCACCTACCAGGATGATCTTGGTGTGCGTGTGTCTGTGAATTTTAGGTGGTTTTTATAGAACCTCATAACTCCTAAGTTTGATGTGGGTGATCGGGGATGGGAGAGGGTTGTGAAGCACTAAAACTCCAGGACGCTTTTTCTTTTTTTTAATTTTTTTTTTCTTTTTTTTTTTTTCCTTACACATGTTAAATAATTATATCTAGAGTAACCCACTAGGTTTGCGAACTGGCCATTTTTGAACATGAGCTGTTTGAACAGCTTTTGACAGCTGCTCAAAAAAGAGGTAGAAATTTATGCAAAAACATTAATAGAGAAACCCCGAACTCCCCACATATTGATTTTATGTCTCCCTCAGGCAGACATTAATTTCTTCTTAGTTCTCTGTAAAATGCAGCCCAGGGCAAAGCTGAGTTCTAAATACCCTTTAGCAGAAAACCTTCACAAAGTTTAGATTTAAATACATTGAAATATTGCTTGTGCTCTTAGGTTTTGGGAGATCGACTTTTCAGACATACTCTAAGGAAAATCACTTTTGCTTGCCATGTATTTCTTTACGGTGTTTAAACTCTAGTGCTCTATCCTTGTTATACTATAAAAGCAGGTATTTCACAAGCTTAAAGAAAAGCTTTATTGTTGTGACTCCTGTGTCTAGCTAGATACCTGCAGGCTAGGATCAAGATATGTTAATTGATGCAAACACTTTATGAACATCCATCTAGCTGCCTTGTGCAAAGTTTAATGTGAAGCAAGTCTTTGGTTTTAAAAGTCAAACAGCATCTGCCACTAAGAACTTACCTCAAAATTCTAGAAAAGCTAAAAATCACATTTCTTTTTCGTTGAACTTTTCTTCCCTTATCCATTACGTATTGAGAAGGTAGGATATTTTACTCAAAATCTTGATTTCATAAAGCTTCGTATCGCAGAACACTTTACCAGGAAAACAAAAACCAAAACCCCTGTGTTGTGGTAATCGGTCTGTAATAAATGCCAATATGGATTCTCATATTCTGGTATAAGAACACCTTTTCCTAATTTAATTTAATCTTTTTTTGAAATCCATCATTAGCTACAAAGGATAACAAAAAATTTAAGAAATAATGAACACTGAAGTGAAGCTATGGTTCTTGAAATGGAGAACATACATCAGTGAAGATGATGAAGAAAATATAGTGTCTGGCCTCTATCCTTTTTTGTTCACTACTCATAGGATAGAATAAGAATTAGGTACTTGTAAAAGCAAATAATAAAACAAAGTAACATTGATTTCCTCTTCTGTCCTATAAAATTATTGATCTGTTTTTAACCTAATTGGCACTTGTGAAAATAAATTGAAAAAACAGTAGGCTATTTATGGGGTTCAAGTATTTGTTCTCAGTAAGAGAGTCCTAGTCATACTTGTTCCAGACTGTGTTGGCTGTCCTAACAAGCTAAAGATCCGTGTGCTGTAGCATACTGTATTTGCTTTGTTCTCCTTCTCTTTAATCTCATGTATCTAATTATTTCTTGTAATTTGGAGAAACAACAGTGCTAAAGGTGCCTTAATGTATTGATACACAACAATTGAGTACACACTGCTAAAAAAGCAGTTTTTCAGTAAAAGTCTTATCTAACATAAAAATGAACAGCTAATTATAGGAAAGAGATAATAAAAGAAGTTTTCCAGTTAAACCCACCAGAGTTTGTGTGAAGCAAAGGAATGTTATTTCTCCTATATCCTGCCTAGGAGGCCAGCTGACATATTGATTAATACGTTTGCATGACACACAGACATTTTTATCAGTTATACTTTTCTGTACTATAGAATTTACTACATAGAATCCAAAGACTCTCTGTTTTCTCAGTTTTGATCTCAGATATTTTGTTTGTGGAAAAAATTACGGATGGGTGGGCCCCTAATTCACATGCATAAGTATTTGCAGGTTTAAGGAATGAATTAAATTTAGGTCTAAACTTGCCACACTCTTTTAGGCAAAGCAACACTAAAGGTATTGCACATAAATTCAGTGACATCATTTGTATTGGCTTCAACAAGCTTTGGCTCAATCTCCAAGCTGTATAGTTTGGATGTTGAGCTTGATGCTTGAGGGTACATCAGGTGAAATTTTATTTCATCATTATAACTCATCAAAGGAGTTGTCCTGAAGCCTAAAGCTCTCTGAGAATCATCGGAATCGGGGTAGTTAATTACAAGTCAGGAATACTGATAAAAAGGCTTACAGTTGTTTTATAAAAAAAACCACTGGCTAAAACTGCATGCTTATTAAAAAAAACCACTGGCTAAAACTGCATGCTTTTCCTTGGTATTTGATATAATTTATTTCATAAATATTAAAAAAAGGTAAATTTAAATTTTTTAAAAATCAAGATACAATTGTTTACATGCTTTTATAGCTCAACCTTTGTTTTTTGGGACTATCGTATAATTCATAGCAAACATCTTTGTAAACTGCCATCCTGATAGGGCTGCAAACCACTGGCTAAAACTGCATGCTTTTCCTTGGTATTTGATATAATTTATTTCATAAATATTAAAAAAAGGTAAATTTAAATTTTTTAAAAATCAAGATACAATTGTTTACATGCTTTTATAGCTCAACCTTTGTTTTTTGGGACTATCGTATAATTCATAGCAAACATCTTTGTAAACTGCCATCCTGATAGGGCTGCTGAAGATTGCTCTCCTGTGTTTGCGGCTGCAATGCAATAGCTCCTGTGGATATGGAGACAGATGATTTCACATCCGTTTGCCGGTACCCAAAGAGGAAGATTGTGTTTTAAAACCTGTTTAAAATGCTATTGCAAAAATAGCCTTATCTAGCTGACTGAGATTTTAAAGCTGGATATTTGTGTGCTCCTTTGAGATAAGATTTGGACCATCCCTCCAGTAGAAATTGTGTTGTGGGAGAATTGCGTGTGTATGTTATTTTGCATGCTGTATCAGTGTGCATATTTGAAAAAGGGAGGGAGAAAAAGCGAAGTAGATTCCAATTTCATCACACAGTTCTTGCGTCTGTTCACAGCAGTTAGCCAGGTATATTGTTTCAGCATGGCTAAAGTTACAGCTATTAGCAAGGTGATTTTACATATTACCCCTCTGTGCTAATTTAATGCTGTTGTTTTCTCTGTCTACTCTTGTAACAAAACAGAAGTACTCTGCTGTCTCTCTCTGCAACATATCTACAGAGGTCCTGAAAGTCATCAATGCCACTGAAGAACTGATAGCAGAATCCACTGGTCCCTGCGATTTCCCAGCTGACGTTCAGGACAGAGGAAGAGGGACGTTCCCACTGGGGACGGACCCCATCAGACTCGATGAGCAGCTCACCACACTGGAAGAAAACGTAAGAACATGAACCAGTATGTGAAAGTGTCACATGTGTCAGTGAGTGTACCTATGTGTGTGTGTCAACTGGAAAGGGAAAGCGCGTAGGCAGCATCAGTGGATATTCAGAATTAATTTGGGGTTATTAAACAAATACACAAACAGAACAAAAAAAATCCTATTTCAAAGGGGTACTCAGCTGTGTTGTTGGGGGGTTTTTAATGTGTGCTTTAAAACATTTGGGGAAGGGGGCAAGTTGGATGTGTTGAGTTTTACAACTAAGTTTAGAATCCCTACCTCAAAAGTTAACTTAAGCCCTCTGACCCTCTGTGGCTGCACAGCTGTGCCATGCCTTGCTGAAACCACACGTCTCCAAGTCCCAGCACAGCCTTGTTATTGTAAGGACAGGTAGGGGCAAGCATGTCCCCAGTCACACAGAGAAAAGTGGAGGAGCTCTTCCTCCACCCACACTTCCCCAGCATACTGTGCTGAGCACCCAGGGAGCCGGAGCTGCCTGCTGCACTGTTAAAAAGAGCAGGCTGGAGAAGCCGAATTGAACAAACATTTCTGGCCACATCTGAATCACCCATCCTTTTTCATAAGTACCTGTCATCTGCAAGGAAGAGTGTAATGCTGAATCATAGAGGGAAGTCACTACTCATTGGAAATTTTTATGCATCCACTTAATGGAGTTGGTACACTTGTAACTTTCGATTTTCTCTTCTTCCCATATTTAACTGATTACGTTTCAGGGATTTTTCCCTTCATTAGGAGCTCTTAAAGATCTCGTAGGAATCTGGGCTGTCCCATTATAACATCCTGATCAATTCAAGAAAATAGATCCTGGTTTTCTTTAGCTCCGGAAAATATTCAGACAGAATCTCTTCTTGGGGGTAAAAAAAAATCAGTTTCCTCCACAGAAACACACTTCCACAACAGCCCCAGGCTAGGGACTGAGGGGGAGATAATCCATGGCAATAACAGCCACTCCTGGCACTGGGCCTGTCCTACTCCAGAGCCCTCCCACCAGTCCCACAACTCCCCAGGCCCTCTCACCACACCTTTTCTGAGCCCAAATCTCCCAGCCCTGCTTCGGTTTGGAGGTTTCCAAGCTAGATCTTGCCCTTCCTAACTTCATCTGCTCCAAAACCTTTTCCATCTCAGACCTTTCCCCCTGACCACACCAAACAGGATGCCCTCCAACCCACCCCAGAGCACCTTCACTCTTCTCCAACCAGCTCCTGGTCATAACTTGACCTCCAAACTGCTCCTTCCCACCTCTGCTCAGCTTTCCCAGGCATCCTGCTGTGCTAGGTGGATGTTCCTGCTCCTCCTCTCTCCCACACACCGTCCTGGTTGCTGGCATCTCCTGCCTTCCATCATGGGGCACCACAGACACCTGAGCCTGCCCTGCCACAGAGCTCTCCACACGGTGGCCATGCTCCCAGCTCCTCACTGGGAGGGGAACTCAAAACAAACAAGCAAAATAGGCTTGGGAGTCCTCCCCAGTGGGGCTAGGAGGGCAGGACGGGAGGATGTGTCCAGGAGACGCTGGACATGTGGTGGCTCAGACATGGCCCTCTGCAAAATGGTAAAGGCTTCCCATAGCAGTTGCTGCCCTAGTGCCCGGAGAAGGGTATAACTGGAGCTTGCGACAAGCAAAGTGCCTTCTTCATGCCACCTACCGTGATATCCATTTCATTCTTACACAACAGACGCACCCCTACAACAACTTCTAGTTGAGTTTGATTAATTTTTTTCAGAATAATAGAAGTAGGTAGATGGAGATTTTCTCCCCATGAAATACTGAAGCATCCTAGCTCCACACACCACAGAATGCATTTGTCAGGAGAGTGAATACAGAACAAAAATCCAAATCTAGGCTGGACCACGTCTTTAGAAAAACTAAGAAACTCCTCAGGAGGACAGAGAGCAATTTGGGGAGAGTTCCTCCCATATTTTTTCTGTGGAGAGCTGTGTTGTAAACTATCTGAGGTGCGTTTTTTTCCCCAATTACACTCTGACAATCTCTCCCGTCCTTGTGGAGCTTTGGCATCTGTGGTGCCGTGGCCTCTAGTCATTCATTCAGGCCAAGCATTTCTCACTGAGCAGAGACTGGGCACTGAGGCAGAGCATTTCTTGCTGTGACGTTGCCCTCCTTGCAGCATATCCCTGGTTTAGCTTCTCTCAATTCCCTGCATAATTCATAGGGTATCCAGCTCAGCCTTGCTGTGTCCCCACACTACATCTTTCTCTGCCCCACACAGGATTGAAGGAGATGGCAAAACTTCATAGTTTCAAGATTTCACCACCACACTCCATAGCAGAGTTAAAGAGCCTTTAGAAATCCAGGAATTCGTAACTTTGTCTAGTGCAGCTGGGGGCATATCTGCATGCAGCACTTCCTCTTTGCAGCAAATTTTGGAAGAGGATCTGGGTATATATAGACACTTTGCTCATTTTTGCTCTCTGTAGCATTTCAGGGACTCTGCATGCATCAGTGGGGAGAATGTAGGGCCACCTGTACCAGCACAAGGTCGGGTGGGTTTTAGTGGAAGCTGTGCATACCTAAATGGTAGTAAAATAAGTCTCCACAATCTGAATGTGAATGTGAATATGCATAAGGACATAATATAGTGGAGACCTGCAGGTACCCCATTGCTGTTTGGAAGCACAACAATTGTTCAGGTAAAGAGAATACTCTTTAGAAAAATCTTTTATTTAGATCTAGCTGGCAAATGTTCAATAAAATTAAAATTTAACAAATGTAGAGGCTGATTGAATTACAAAAACATTGATGACCTTCCCTTCCCACATTTTTCTATCAGTCCTATTTTCTTTAGATTTTTTTTCCCCTCTTGAAAAGTACAACTTATTGCGCAGAGAATTTTGGCACAGCATTTAAATGCATCTTTTCTTTAACTTTCTAAAGATGTTTCTGTTCATAATGTTCCTTTTTCTTCTTTCTCTGAGCTTTTAGACATGATAGAGAAATTAAAAAAATCACCTTTTAATCTGAAGTGGCTGTGGTATGTCGCACCACAAAGGTGGATCATTTAAATGAATGGAAAGAATAATTGAAACCCACAAAAGCAGGAGCATTTCTATTTAAATCAGCATGTTAACTTTATGGCCCACCTGTGTCTCCAAGTACTCCAGCAAAGATGTTAAATAAGATCACTTACTTGTCCTGGGTACATTTTTCAAAGGTTTCATGCCTGCAGTTAGACTGGTCTTACAAGATGCAGTTCATACAAGATGTAGTGAATTTGTTTCTTAGCAAAGTCACATACATGAAAAAAATGTATATACATTTACACTTTGAAACAACTGATACAAAAGAAAAAAAAAACCTATTGCAAGCAATTAAGAAACAATAATAAAATAAAAAATAATGAAAAGTAAACACTTACTTAAATCTTAATCTAGTCATTCTCCACCACCATTCTCCAGGTTTTGGCTGCTGTATATTTGGGTGAGAGCAAGATGGGATGGAAAACTGCGTTGTACATGTAAGCGCAGTTACTCTATAAGAAGTTAATAACCATATGCTGCTGAAGAGTTATTCTTACAGAGTTTTGATTGCCAGAAGGCATTAGGCGTGTTTCAGTAAACACAGTTTTATATATCTGTTGGCTTCCCCTTGTACAGGGTTTTTGTTACGCAATTGAATATCAAAAATAAAAAAGCAAACTTTTCAGTTTGTTTTTTTTTTGGTGGTGAATCTGGAACAAATCTGTTTTGGAATACCGTTGTAGCATCTATGAAATTTGGAGTTCAGCCACCTCACGCCACCCTTCTCTTTGTGGATGTGTGTTTTGAGATTATTGCCCCATGACTTTCCTCTGCCAGGTAAGTCTCCCTGTAGTGGGTTAGCAAGGAGGGAAGCTCAAAGGTGTCATGGAAGATGCAGTCTGCTCAAACCTCCGTGCCCACAAAACCAAAATGACTGACACCTCTCCCTGCCTTGGCCCTGCAGGTGTACTTGACAGCCAGCACGGTGTACGGGCTGGAGGGGCAGCTGACGAACCTGGAGGACGCCGCACGCAAGATCAACAGTGTTACTGCAGAATCTGAGCTGGCCGATCTGGAGGATCAGGTGGCCACAGCAGCCGCCCAGGTTCATCATGCGGAGCTTCAGGTGAGGACTGTGGCTCCTCCGTACCTGCAGGTTTCACACTGCCTTGCCTAGCACTTACCTTTTGTCCATGCACACTTACTTTCGATACTCTTTTGTACCGCAGTGGACTGATGATCCAAGAATGCTGACTGCATCACAGGAGCTGAGCAAAGCTTAACCGAGATGCGTAACTCAGCCCAGCCAGATGTACTGCATTTGCTTGTTTCTTCCCCCAGCTTGTTTTCAGACATGGGAGTGCAACAGCCTGTTACCGCAATAGTAATACTGAAGCTGCTCCTTGGTGCCAGGCAGCTTACATGGTACACACTGTGTCACAGGCGTGGCTGTGGTCAGACTGCAAATACAGTCTCGGGCAGTTTATCTAATCAGCAGATTGTCAAGTACTTTCTGAAAGAAGCCAGTGTCAGTACCGTCCTACCGAAAAAGGCCAAGGGCAGCCAGCTGCTGAGCCAAGCACAGAGCCTAGCACTTGCAAGCCTGCCTTGGGATTTAGCAGCACACGTCCCAGCCAAAAGGCAATTGCTCTTGTGGGCTGCGATCTAGTGTCTCTCTAGTGGGCTCCAGAAAGTCTGGGGCTCAGAAGAGAACATCGTGATCTGGTGCTAAAAGCTGAACGAGGTAACCCTGCCAGAGCTCAAGGGGATAACGCTGCTAGCAACTCACTGCCAGTGATTTCACTGACCAGTCTGTGCCAAGTGAGGCACTCTGACCTGCCTGTGCCAGGCTTTAATGGGAAGTACCTGGTTATTTTACTCAGCAGTAGCATGCTCAATTTAGGACTGAGCAAAGATCTGAGAGTCTGACATCTCTCTGATGTCAGAAGTGCACTGCTGCACTAGATGGCGAACTGGCAGTGACATTTTGTTGGCTTCGGTCATTATTTTATGGTAAATACGTTAATGATGGTGAGATGTGAGGAGGAGAGAGGCCTAAGCTATGCAAGGAGGATGACAAAGAGGCCAACTGAAGGTCTTCTGCAGAGTGAACAGCTTCAGGTGTCATAATGAATCAGGAGTCGGGTTATATATCTGACTCCTTTGACATTTCTTTCCCTTTTGGCAACATTTGTTTCCGCTAGTCTCAACATCAGCCTACTTTCCCCCCAGATGTTTGCTTTCTTGGACTTTTGTTTTTCCTAGCAATTTGTTTTCCATTGAGTGGTTTTATATAGTGTGTACCTCCATTTATGCATGTTTGTGTTTAACATACATATACACTTAAATTATAAATATTTAAGATCAAATGTTTAGATTGTGTGATGGAGGATGTACTTTGCACGTGCATTAAATTATTTTTGAATTAGGAAGTGTGTCCTACAAAGTCATTCTTTGAATGTAGCCTTCGAAAAACACAGTTGAATGAACTTGGGATTATGCAGCTAAAGGTAACTGGGAGATAGCAGACAGGGGTTTTCTCTTCTCCGTTCTTTTTTTCCTTAAAAGGAGTAAAAGGCATCTTCCTTGGAGTCACGCGGTAGGTTGGATTGTTCTTTTACTCCATCTTTACTAACAAATTAAGCCCCTTTTAACATCAGGACTAAAGAATACAGGAAAGTGTCAGAATTGCTGAAGAAGTTAGCCATCTGCTTATATTTTTTGAGTAAATAGAATTTGACTGGGGGAGGGATATATTTTAGTAGTGGCATCCACAGTAATTTTAAAACTTCTTTTTCCCCCTCCCCATCTGTCTGTCTCTCTCTCTTATTTTCTTTGAAGATTTCAGATATTGAGAGCAGAATATCAGCTCTCACTGTTGCAGGCTTGAACGTGGCTCCATGTGTTCGCCTGACAAGGAAACGGGATCAAAAGCAAACAAACCAGGTGCCAGAACATTATGTAGTATTCAAAAATACATTGGGGAAATCTTGTCTCTTTTTCTGTAATGGAGTTGAGTAACGCGTATGTGTTGTTTACAGATGCATACAATAGACACATCAAGACAGCAGAGGAGAAAACTTCCAGCTCCACCAATAAAAGGTGCACTTAAGTTGTCATACATTATAGAAAGAGTGTCTCTCTTTATAAGGTTCAATATAGCGTACAGTTCAGCGAAGTAGGGGAAAGGTTAAGTTTTGAAATGATCAGAGAAAGCCTAAACGTGTCCACCCTCCTCGTTGCCCATTGTACTTGCATTACATAAAATATCCATTTGTCACATTAAAAAGCATCACCACTTTGTCTTTCCATGGAAGTTGTGACAGTGGCAAATTGATAGGAGCAGAAGCAGAAGGCTGGGAAAAGCAAATGAGAAATGCTGACTACTTGTCCTGCAGCAGGGACACTGCTACTCTGGCATGCCTGGGGTTAGGCTGTAAGGCCCAAGCAGTTGCAGTGTTTAATTAACAAAAAGCCAGTTGCCACCCTCCACAACCCACTGTTGCTTTCTTAAAGCCTGTGTCTGCTGATTTCAGTCCATATGATGTGGCTCAGTGATGTTCCTGCTATGTTAGGGTATGGCTGTGAATTGGCTTTATAAATAAAGTTTTTTCTTTCATGTTTTCGCTTTTTTTTTTTTTAACCCCGCAGTGCATTATCTCTGACAATTCTAGGGCCTGCTTCACCTTGCATTACTCGTTTTACTCTTGTGTAATTCCACTGATTGACATGGCCTCAAACTTTAATAAATTTGGAGTGTCACAGCCTGCTGTTTTTCATTTAAATTAAATCCAGCTTTCCTCATACGTCTTAGGGGAAGTTTTGTCTCTCTAGAAGCTGTGACTCTTCAGGAGTATTGTTACATCTGCTTCAATCTGTTATGTGAAAAATCTCCCTTTTTGTATTTTTCCCAGGTGAAAAAATAGATGGTTCTCCAGTTACCACTGTCAGAACGTTTAACAGAAACTTCATGCTTCAAGGATCTCTAACACAAAGAACTGAAGAGAGGAAAAGCACTGCCAAGGACTTAATGGTAAACTCATAACAGATGTTTTTAAAACTGCTGTTAAAAGCAGTAAATAGAGAGCGAGCGATATCTGTGTAGGCAGTTATATTTCAGCGTCTTCACAAAACTTCTCTTAATAGTTTGGAAAATAAAAAATAGAGACTGCTGAGGCAGCTCTGAACAAATATGACCAATGTCCTTGGAAGCTGTCTGACTATATGCCATAGTATAGCAGCTGTGCAGTCCTGAATGTCAGCCTGTGTGAATGCATTCTGGCTGTCAGGTCTCCAGGAATGTGCTACCCTTATTTAAAAAAAAAAAGAAACAAACCAAACAACCAAAAAACTAGTGGTCCCCTGCAATTCAGACTTCTGAACCAGACCCTCACAGAACCAGCTGCACGCTGTAACTCAGCAAGTGAGAGTCACCTTGAATCTCACTAATTTTTGAGACATGTTCAAAGGTTACCTAAGTGGAATTTAAGGGGTAGATAGGCCATGCATTGGCTCTGCAGGGTTTGAACAAATAGGCTTCACCATACAGCTGTCAATCATTTCTTCTAGAGCAGCTGTAGAAGGATAAGGAAAAAAGCTGACCCTCCCGAAGCAGTCTGCCACCAGATATGTGGAAAACAGGCAGGGAGGCGAGAAGGGGAAGGACCTGGCTCCCTAGAAGCTTCAGCAAGCTTGTTTTGTGTTTTGCTCATGTTTTTTTCTTTCCTGTCCCTCTCTTTTCTAGGAACCTGCTATAGGATCTGCTGTGATGTACTAAACTTACACTTCCCTACTGCCAATAACACACTGCCTAAGGCTGTACACTAGAGTGCCTTTACTTAACAGCCATTGTGTATGTCCAGCTGAAAATGGACCCTCAAGAACCCACAATGCCTCAGTTATAGGGCTTCGTTTGGATACCTCACTGAGAAAGCTGTCCAAGTCTTCAGCATTGTGGTCTGCTAAAGGAAACTCTGCCTTAAAGTTCTCACAAGACTCTAGAAAGGATGCTGAGTTTCAAAAGCAAGGCTCCACATTTTAAGATGCACTTTTTCTCCCCATTGATTGTACTAAAGTATGTCGTCTTTGAACTGCAGTATGTTTTTGTAGACTCAGTCAATCATAATTATAGGCCAATATTTCATACAAAAAGAAAGAACAAAGCAGACCTGTGATCCATATTTGCTGGCCTCTTACTATTCACGTAGGCATCCATCTTGCCGAGCAATAAGAACAACTCTGTGCAGTGTATGCTGCTTTTCAGCTGCGTGGTGGGAGTGGAGAATCAGCATACCTAGCTCTGCTCCCAGTGAGTCAGTGGAAGTTTTGACAGGGTTTGTAGGAGGAGGTGCAATGTGCAAAGACTTCTCTGTTCACTGAGGGTATGTTTGGCAGAGTTAATGTTCTAGCTCCAGAGCTAGGTAGTTTGCTCTTGGCAGCAGGGGGGACATGGATGTCATGTTGAGCCGTGAATTGGTGGCAGCACATGTGGACCAGATGTCTGCTGAGTTACGATCCTGGCATCTGGAAATATCTGAACACTGCTGTGAAACCCACACCTTTGTATGTCTCGTTCTTCTTGATAGCATTGTCTGCTTGGTGGTGTCGAACCACACTGTAGTTCAGAATAAATTCTGACTAAATCTTTAAGATTGGAAAAAGGAAGTAAAAGCATTGTAGATGAGATCTCTGCTGACTGACTGCTGGTTGTAGGGTGGCTGCAACCTGTAAGAGATTCCCTTCTGCAGTTTCCTGGCTTTTCTGAGGGGGAGGAAAATGTACCCCAGATGTCTCTTCCTTTACCACTCTGTAGCCAACGTGGAGTAGCTGGGGCCTACACTGGTGCCATGTGCACCCCGCTACCATTGGACCACACTGAATTAGATTGTGAATAGTAAAATTTCTTCTTTCGTTTCTTGAGACCTTTGAAAGGTAAGCCAAACTGGAAGGCCCTTGAGCAGATGCCCAGGAGGGAAGATGCAGCTTACAGGGTGTGCCTCTTACCCTTTTTAGGGAGGACTTTGCCAATTTGTGGTACTTTTTGCTCTGAAGAATACAAAGGAGGTCGTTAGAGGAGGTGATAAGTCAGTGAATCCCTTATCTTCCACACAAAGTGCAGAGCAGGTACCCAAATGCAGACTGGGTTGATGTGAAACGTGCTATGAAGGAGGGCATGGGCTGGCACGTTCCCCCTCAGCATTAAGGAGTGGTGAGCTCTCCTGAGAGCAGCGCATACCAGGGAAGGGGGAGAGCTGCTCCTTTCCCTGCGCTCCCAGCCAACACCCACTAGCAGAGTGCTGCACATTACCTGCCACGCGGCAGGAAAGCAGTCCCCTGGGACACCAGGCCATGAAATGTCTATGGTTGGGCAAATATGAGCAAAACTGGGCAAATTTCCTGGCTAGGCTGGATTTAGGGGGTCAGGTGGGTAAGGTAAGGAATGGCTGGATGGGACGGTTGGAAAAACAGTGTCAGTTGCAAATCTGCCACCCACATTTGACATCGGACATCAAGCTTGTCAGTAAACTGATGTCCAGCTGCACGTAAGGAATCCTCAGAATAAATACAACCATCTTCCCACCTAGAATACAAAAGCATCGCTCCATCCCTTCAAGGATCCATCTGCCCAAGATCTGACTCGATGTGTTCATTCTGTGTGAAATTATGCCTTCTTTTACTCTCACACAATACTAGTTCTCTGGAATTGGTTTGCACAGATGTGAGGGCAGAATTTGGCCCACTCTGTTTAATATATAAATATATATGTAAAACAAATAGATTTTATTTATATATGCAATCCGGTAAAGGATATTAAACAGAGTAGGATGCCTAGTAATTTTTTTGTTATCCAGTCTCCTCCCCCTTCCTTGACTGTTCTCGTGTATGTATACAAGACATTCCCAGGTTCTGGTTTATGCAGGTATGCGTGTTATGAAATGTCATTAATGGTGGTTGGTCTACATATTCTTCTAATAAATAAAACATATTCGTCTAATAAATAATAACTAATATTGTGTATGTAATATCAATATACAGAAATGTAATTTTAATAGCATAACTCTGGCTTTTGTTCTGTTAGTGTGATTTAAACAAGCCAACAAAGTTTGGAATAGGTTGTTTTCCTTAAGAGGCATGAAAAGCAACTATTATCGTGTTACAATGTTAAAATATTCAGTCTTCTTTGACAGAAAAATGTGTACTGTGTAGGCATTGCAAAGAAAAAAACCAAAAAAAGAAAAAAAATCCCACCTGCTATAAGGCATTTGAATTTTTACAAATGAGCAACTATTCGTGTTACAATGTTAAAATATTCAGTCTTCTTTGACAGAAAAATGTGTACTGTGTAGGCATTGCAAAAAAAAAAACCACAAAAAAAGAAAAAAAATCCCACCTGCTATAAGGCATTTGAATTTTTACAAATGTTTATTGTGCCAAATATGTGCAAAGATATAATTTACTGTTTTAAAAAAATCATAAAAGCATATGTTATAGCACACAAAGAATTATTTTGTCATCAAGTGATTTCAATCTTTAGTGTTTATATTTAGATTAATTTTTATAAATGAAAATATTTTAATGGGTAAAATGAAGACTATATGATCTATTTGATTAAGTCTGAGTGAATATTAAGCTTGCCTTGTTGTCGTTATCTGCATACTCACCGAGAATTATTGTCAAGAGTAAAAGAGTAAAAGCAATTTATGAAAAGAATGCCTTTTCAAGGACTTGATTCATAAAGAAAAACCAAAAGTTCTTCTCTGTTGTTTGGATTTATGTGCACTTCGGCCAGGAAGCGTGCAGAACGTGCTGCCGCGCTCAGAGCTCAGGTGCTGCCTCGCCACAAATGACCCGTCCCCCATTAAACCCGGGAGAGACCTGCAACTCCGCAGAATTACCTCGGTTAGCTGAGGGGAGGAACACACGTTAACGCACTCGGTTCGGATTTTTCCCGCTGGGGCTGGGGCGGGAGGGATCCTGCTAGGAACGTTTGATGGTTAGTCTTCTCCGAGCTGTCGAGCCGCTTGGGCGAAGTACCGTCTCAGGCAGAATTTCTGTAACTCTCACTGGGATCGCTACAAAATGACAAACTGAGCGAGAACCCTGCTGATAGTCTAGCATTTCCAAAGTCACATGCCACGCATGCTGATCAAAATATTTCTTTATCAGCATATTTTCTCCACCATGAGGGCATTCATTTAAACTGGCATGTTTTAAGTAACACTTTGGGTGTTATATGTTGTATTATAAATAGGAGTAACTACCTTATTATAATAAAAATCCACTCCTTGCTGAGAGACCATTTGCAAAGAGAAAGAAAGCGTTAAATTATCTGCAACGATTAATTCAACCGCTATTAAGTTTTAGCAGTAATTCTAACGAAGCACAACTAGAAGTGCATGTTCATTCTAATTTGTCTTTTGCAGAATGATTTGTGGCCTGGACTCAACTGTCAGTCATTAGCTAAATTGTAAACTCTTTTTTTGATATAAGCCATAGATTAAACTGCATTTGAATATTATTGCTGGTAATAGTTATTAATCAAGATTAAACATATTTTAAATAACACTTCTTATAAAATGAATATAACAAAGTTAATTGCCATGGCAGACGTGAGTATTGAGCCGCAACCCCGGTCTTATTGATGTGGACTAATGTAGTAGATGGTACATTGCTTGTGATCCTCAACAAGTGACTTCAGCTTGATCAGAGAATGTACTTACAAACAACTACGTTGTTTTAAAGGGAATCAGCTAGTTTAGGCCCTTACCCCTTTTGGATAATGGTGCATGATTACGTGCAGTAGGCACAAAACTACTCTGAAGAGTTTAATTAGCCAATTTTATTATTTTTCCTTCAGCAGGGAGAAAATACTTATCTTTCATAGGAGCTCCTTTTTGTTCATTAATATATCTCTCCAGCAGTACAGGAAGAAGCATAAAGAGGCAGAAGTTCAGGCCTATGTTCCTACGAGTGGATGTTAACAGTCCATATAAAAACTACACACAGAGCACCAGCATTTCATGCCGTTAATGCAGGCACATTAAAAATTAGTAAGAGCCTTTTTTCTTTCTTCCAACCATTGCTTTTTATTTTTACATATCAACAGCCATTGACTTTGAAATGTGATGGGAAGGCTTCACGATACGCTTAACACTGCAGAGTTTAAATCTCAGCACAAAAGCTGTGTGTTTTTTGGATAAACCTGACGTTACAGTGAACAGCATCAAGGGATTGGTGGGGATGTAAGACAAAGAAACATTTTTGTAAGCTATGGTTGCACTCAGTGCTAGTGTCCATGCATTGTCTTTTACCTGCACCCTGAATATGTTTCTTTTTGAAGGAACTTGCACAAGGAGCAGAAAGAGCAGCAGCGTGGGATTGCTAGCCAAAAGCAGAACTGGAAGTCTGAGGTGCAGGGGAGGGTGCAATTCCAAGAGCAGAGGTTGGGTCACCGCCTCAGGGAACGGGGATCACCAGTCATTGTCTTCTGTGTCCGACACTTTTTGCTCCCACAAAGCATTCCAGATGAAATCCAGGTGCCTGCTCAAAGGCCTCAGGCTGCCACGGCTGCTTTTCAGCTGCCTCTTCCCAAACCGACCAATGGGGCGAACACCACGGCCCACGTACCAAAAAGGATCGATCTCAGGACCTGGAATTCAAAGCAGTTGGTGAAGCATCTACCACTGTACTTAAAGGCAGCATTCCTGCATGTCTTGAGGGTGTCAGATGGCTTATTTGTAGCCCAGGAAAAAAAAAAAGGGGGAAAGGCTGCAGCCAGACACACAACTTTCTAGTTCCTTTGAGGGTCACCTGCCATGTGTAGAGCCCAAAGGAAGAGGGTTTGGATGCAAAATTAATTTTCATCCATCTGGGCTGCAACCTGCAGTTCGAACATAAGCCAAAGTACCCGTCAGTTCAGGGGGGCACAGCGTGCTTTAAAACTGATCCGAACCCTGGAAGAGGTTACAATGCAGCCTACGTCCAGAAAGACCACAGCACCGCCACTTTTAAACTGTCCCCTCTTAGCTGAAGTCCTGAAGGTCCTACTGTCCAGCCTCCATTTCTGCTGTATGCACCAGGTACGGCATCTCTACAGGCTAACAAATCCACCGGATTGCAGAGGGGGTTCCTACGTGAGAGGTAAACGTAAAAAGCTAATTCTTGTTCGCTTAGGAAGTTGTTTTCATGGATGCCTTTTTTTCTTTTAATGCATCTGAAGTACACTTGACTTATTTTTATAGTCTAGTCTAGTTTTAGAGCAGGTGTGGAGAGGGGTATAGTTGTATTAAAAGACTAAGATGTATCAACAGGGAAAATCTACAAAGCGCTGGAGATGATGCCACCCCAAGGAAATGCCAAATCATTCCGAAGACGGCTAAATGTCAGGAACAGGAATAAATTTCAATTTAAGCGCATTATATATCATCCAAGTCATATGAAAGTCTCCGGCAAGGCAGCAGGATTTTTCTCTGTGCATTTTGATGCTTGAACAGAGAAAATAAAAAATCCACTTTGGCTGTGAATTTCTCCATAAATACATCTTGTAAGTCTTTCCACGCAGTATTTAACACCCCTCCTGCCCACCAAAACCCAAGTAATTTCCTTTTTCTCACCTGGGTACCTAAAAACTGAGGCTCCCCACATCCCTAGTTCTCTTTGAAAGGGGAAAGGTGTGCCACTGAGAGCACACACGCCTTACTCCCCCCACCCACCTCTCTCCGACTCCACATACAATTATCAGCCTTTGCTCTTTGGGGGGAAGATGAGATTTCCTGATAAAGATTTTTCTCAAAAATCTTTTGGACTGTGTGTTAGCTTTTCGGCATACGGTATTGTCCCTCACCTGGC